CCTTGTGGGACAACCATAAGATAACCAAGGGATAACCACAGCCACAGGCCAGTGGGTCATGTGGGTCACTTGTTATTTAGATCAATCAGCACTCACAAACGTGCACATACTGTAGAGTCATTGGCACAAAAATCAGCAAGACCATAGGTGCTGTTGGAGTGACTTGTGTGTTTAATGTTGGGGTGGTGTTACATCAGTGATCAGCTTTGAGCCCCATTTTGTTCCCTATGATAATGGCCAAGTTGACAGGTACTGTCAGACAAGAGGCTTCATAGACCATGATGTTTGTAGATGATATTGTAATCTGCGGTGTGAGTAGGGAGTAGGTGGAAGAAAACCTGGAGAGGTGGAGGTCTGCTTTGGAGTGAAGAGACATGAAGGTCAGCAAGAGGAAGACAGAATACATGTGCAAACAAGAATGAGGAGAGTGGGTCATCAAAACTGCAACGAGTAGGGATCGTAAAGGTTGTGGTGTTCAAGAATCTCAGGATTTTGGAGATAACGTTAGAGGTGGCGATATTTCAATTTGCAGAATTGGCCAATTTAAAATGGAACAAAAATCACAGCTTTAGGCATAACACTTTAGACGTGTGGCTATGCAACAAGACAAATGCAAACTTGAATAGAGAATATAACTGGATTTCAAATTTATTGAAAAGAAATTGCAGCACCATGAATAAAGAGACAGTTGTGTCTCAAGTACAACATCGGAAGTTTACAATGAAGTAGTCCTTAAGTGAAATAAAAACTGTCCATTGGGGATGAGAGAACAAAACCATCAAAAAGCATCCACAGCACATTGAGGGAAACCATGAGGACAAAATAGAGCTGTAAGTAGTGGAAGTACATAACAATATGGAATGATCCCTTAAAAGAAAAACACCAACTCCTTTTAATCCCTCTACTGTAGCTGTGACCGTATATATATATATATATATATATATATATACACATATATATATATATATATATATATATACACATATATATATCAATCACTTGCAGAATACTCATGGAATCCTTTCATTGTACATTTACCTCCTCAAACTCCCTGAGCACCACTACACCACGGCTTTATGTAGGTGGGGGTGGGTAGCTTCATGCACACTCATACACAAAAACAAAACAAACAAGGTCCTTAAAGGCTTCCTGACTGTGTCCTTACTCCAGATCCCTGAAGAGGGGATTTCTGTAACTGGGCGAGACCCATCCCTTGTTGTGGGTAGTTTGCTGGCCCAGAGCCTGTCAGCAGTCTGGAGCTGGTCTGCAGCCATGACTGACTTGGGCTTGCCTGCTCTTGGTGCTGCTGCTGACCCCCCCTAGAGGCCAAGGTGCCCAAGTGAACTTTAGTCTGCCCATGAGCTCTGGATCCTTGGGAGGAAGCCCCTGCCGAGTCACCACTCTTTAAAAGGCTATTTTTTAATTGGCTGCTGTTGTAGTTTGGGCTTCTGACCACATCACTGCAGCCTCTCTGCTGGTGGGCTGACCCTATGGGCGGTCTTGAGTCTGTGGGCAATGTTTGGCTGAATGATTGATTATGGCAGGAGGAGGGAGTATGGTCGTTAGATAGTCCAGTAGTGGGTTGGTGCTTGTAGAAGCTTTGGCCAGGAGGACTGTAGGAGTCCCGGAGTGGAGAGGCAGATGTCTGCTGATGCAGCAACGGGCTGTCAGTGTGCCGGTGACTTTCTGATGACTGAAAAAACAAACACAATTTACAGCTCTAGGATAATAATACTACAGTACAACAACAACTGTTTAATGATGGGCCTCAGTGTCATTACCTCTATACAAGATTTCTTTTGAAGTATTTTAAGAAAGCCATTCTATTGTTATGCTAATAATATGTAACTATATTTAGATTGTACATGTGGTGGAAGATATAGTACATATATAAGACAAAGGATGTTAGATATGAAAAGGAAAATCCCACAGAACATTTGAGGATGTAATGAAAGAGGACATGGAGAGAGTCGGTGTCAAAGCAGGAGGCAGGTAACATAGTGAGATGTAGGCAGACTGTGGCATTCTCTGAAGGAACAGCCGAATGGAGATGATGAGATGTTAGAGCACACACACAGCAGACGAAAAAATCTTTTTAATGTAAAGACTTTTTTTTTTGCCTTCACGTTAATGATACAAGTGTTGGCATCATGAGTCACAAGTGTATATAACAATTATTATAATTAATTAGTAGAAAATATTGGTAACAGTAAGCTACCTGGTGAAGGTACACAGAGGGACTGTATCTGTGTGGACTCTTCATGGGTGAAGCAATAGATGTTGCCTGCATCTCACATCGATCTGTGTCAGAAAGATCAAGTTGATGAGCTTTAGCACAACAATATCTTTTTAATTGTGAACTCAACTTTCTTGTTTGAAATGCCTTCTCACCATATTCCTCTTCTAAGGAGCTATTCCCCGCAGTATTAATCTTCTCCATCTTGATACTTCGCAGGACTCGCTCACGAACCCCCTGGCCTTCCCTCAGACGTTCAACAGTTGTGGGAACCATCCTTGGACAAAAATATCTTGATTAAAAGTTTTGGCTTTATTCAGATGTGGTAAGAACGTTTTCAGGAAAGCAATCTGTCGAGACACTTCTATACAGAAAAATTACATTTCTCTATCCCCTCACCACTCGCTTTTGTTGTTAGGTTGTGTTGATTTTACTGGTAGGCCATTAGGGTCTGGGGGGCTGACGTCCTCGATCTGTGGGATTGGGTTTCTGTGCGTTGTGGAAGGGTAGGACTGGTGTGATGCGTCAGCTGGGTGTTGCGTCAGCTGATGATAATGAGCCTGATGGGTGTCCCGACAGTAAAAGGAGCTGGGCCTTGAAGCACTGACACCAAGAGAGGAGCTGCTGACAGCAGGATCATGGTCCCGACCACTGCTCTGCTTCCGTTTACGGTACTCCAGCAATGACACCTAAAGCAGCAGATGTATAAAAGGAGCAGTTACAATTATTACACAAAGTTT